TCAATTGACACTTACTATTTCTAGACTCTTTCTCTAAATTTTATGGCTTTCTCACAAGCCCCATTCTAAGAACATGTTCTTTAAATTTTTTACATTGTAAAACTTTGGTAAATTAACCAGTAATCATCATAGTGGTGCTCAGGTTCTCAATTGACACTTACTATTTCTAGACTCTTTCTCTAACTACCAAGTACTTTATTTCGATGTGCTTGGAACCATTAGAGTATTTGTCATTTAAGAGAAGAAAACTACTGTGGTATTATCACAAAATATCTTCAATGACAATTGAGTCAAACACACCAAGTCCTGAGATGAAATTTCACTGCCACAAAGCTTGATTTGTGGCCTCAAAGCATGCCACAAATTCGGCTTCTATTATTGATGATGCAATAAGCAATTGCTTTATATTTTTCCAAGAAATTACCCTACCAGCTAACATGAATACAAATCTTATAGTCTCATACTATCGAGGCAATTTGTAAAATTAGCATTTGAATATCCCGTCACTTTAAGTTGATCTGATATCCTATATGTGAGCATATAATCTTTCTATCCCTTATAGATATCTCATTACTTTCTTTGTAGTTTTCCAACGTTTCATTCCTGGGTTGCTTTGATATCTACCTAGATTTGTAACTACAAAACTAATATTTGGTTTTGTACAGGTTTGTGAGCATGTAATAGACTTCTAACTCTACACCCATAAGAAATATTTTTCATTTGATTCATTTCTAAGTCATTTTTTGGGCATTGATTTTGACTGAATTTTTCACCTGGTAATAGGGTGTATCATTGGCTGAGTAAAGCTGCATATTAAATCTCTTTAAGATACGATTAATATATTCCATTTTTAGATAATCCTAATAATCTTTGAGATCTATCCCTGAATATCTCAATGCTAATAACATAGGCTGCCTCATTCATATCAATTATCTTAAAGTTCTTGCTAAGAAATATCTTGGTTTTATGTAATAAACTAAGATCACTACTAGCAAGTAAAACATCATCTATATATAAAACCAATATAATAAATTTGCTCTCATTTACCTTTAGATATATGCACTGATCAATAGTGTTTTTCTTAAATCTGAAGGAAGTAATGGTATCATGAAACTTTATATACCATTGTCGGAAAGCTTGTTTAAGGCTATAAATGAATTTCTTAAGTTTACAAGCCCAAATTTATTTTCCCTTTTCTATGAATCCTTTAGGTTGTTCCATATAGATTTTTTTATTCAAATCCCCATTCAAAAATATTGTTTTCACATCCATCTGATGAAACTCAAGATCATAATGAGCTATTAATGTCATGATGATTCTTAAATAGTCCTTTCTAGAAATCGGAGAAAAAGTATCATTATAGTCGATGCCTTCTTTTTGAGAAAAACCTTTGGCCATAAGTCTAGCTTTATATCATTTGATATTGCCTACTAAGTCACGTTTTGTCTTAAAGACCCATTTACAACTAACTCTTTTATAATTATTGGGCAATTCAACGAGCTCCCAAACACCATTCTAGACCATTAATTTTTATTCTTCTTTCATTGCATTATATCATTTTTTAAAATCGTTACTTTCTATGGTTTATAAAAATGATGAGGGGTCTCTTTTTATTCCTATATCAAGATCTGATTCTTGTAGATATGCCACATAATTATCAGAAATGATATGTTTCTTTTTCCTTTGAGATATTCTCAAGGCTGCCAATTGTGATTGTTCTATAAGATCATCAACAACGACATCAGATCATCAATGGCGACATCAACCTCATATGAGAGTTCATCGATGTTATTTTATTGTTTACCCTCGTCAATTCTCTTATTGATTTGAGGAACAATAATTTCTCGAATAAGAGATGATATGGGAGAATTAACTTGAATCTCCTCAATATCAAAATTGTTCCTTTGAGATTTTTGACTCTCACTTATTTCGTCATTTTCTACGAATTTTGTATTATCAGATTCTACTATCCTTGTACTATGATTATGGCAATAAAATCTATATCCCTTAGATTTTTTTAGATAACTAATAAAATACAGAAATAATTCTTGGATCCAATTTCTTTTTATATAGATTGAATACTCTTATCTCTATATGATATCCCTAAATATGTAAATGTCTAAGACTGAGCTTCCTACCAGTCCATAAATCAAATGGAGTTAATGAAACTGACTTACTAAGAATATTGTTCAAGATGTACATAGCTGTTCTAAGAGCATCACCCCACATTAACTCAAGTACAAAGGAATAACTCATCATGCTCTTAACCATATCCATAAGAGTATGATTTCGTCTTTCAATAATAT